GAGGAAGGGCCATGATAGCGATAATGAGACAGAAACTTTCTATTCATAAGATGAAATCACTTGCCTGAGGTTTACATTCCCAAGGACAAGATTTCCTCTTCTAAGGATGCTTTATGTCTAACACCTGTTCCTGAATATGCTTAAATATTGCTGATGTGACTAAAAGAAGCTCTCATACTGTGCCAACCAATGACACATGACCTTCTGATTTGTTCTTTGTTTGAATACTATATAATGAAAACATGAATTTAGTAAAATCGCAGCAGATTCCAACCACTCTCTTGTGTGTTGTGTCTGTCTGTCATTCGCCGAACTTGTGCCTTCCTGTTACCAAGACCCTGCTTCTCCCACGGTCTGAGTGGCTCCCCTGAGCCGGTCCGTGGCACTGAAGGTAGGCAGAACCACTCTATGAGCTATGGTCCTGGACAAAATAAAGTCAAGAAAGCAAGATGAGCACCTGCATCAATGCTACTTGCTTCCGAACTGCTGAGACAATGTGACAGATGCCTCAAGCCCCTGCCACATCTTCCCTGCCATGTGAACCACACTCTCAAACCCAACTGTGAGCAGCCAACCTTCCTCCCTTAAGTGGCTTCTGTCAGGTATGTTGTCACAGCAATGAGAAAATTAACCAGTGCAGAATCTGTGGCATAAAAATAGGCTAGAAACCCTCTAAAAACTGGCTCTCAACTTTCTGAATGTTGTAACCCTTTAATACAGTTCCTCATGTTGTGGTGACCCCCACCATAAAATTATTTTCATTGCTACTTCATAACTATAATTTTGCTACTGTTATGAATCACAATGTAAATATCTGTGTTTTCTGATGGTCCTAGGTGGCCCCTGTGAAAGGGTCGTCATCCAACCCCGAAAGGAACATGGCCACACAGGCTGAGAACTGCTGATCTACAAGCACTGATAGCATAAGCCTTAGGTTCAATCCTGTGCATGGGCACACTCCAGCTGGGGTGCTAAAGGACCCTCCCCACACCCACCTACAACAATGGTGACATGCTTCTTCCTCTTCTGCAGGAAGTACTGCAGGAACTGAGCTGTGCAGGATAGGGACAGGTCCTTAAAGGCGTATGTGGCCCCATGCCACAGCTCCAATATGTTCAGCCCATTCTTCAGCCTGCACAGATGGACCACATCTTTGTGGCGGAATCGGTTGAAGGCTTGGTCAATCAGATCTGTGAGAGTAGAGATTGGACAGCAGGTAAAGGCATTATCTCTTCAAGTTATCTTTCTGCCTCTATAATTTTTTTTTATCTCTCATTGCCAGCTAAAACGTACAAAAAATCTGATCTTAAATGATATATTTAGGAAGAGAATTATAAAGGTCTAGAAAAATCTGGGGGACATGTATTAAGCTGCCCATATATTCCACAAATACCCCAGAGGCTAGAACTGGCTCTAGAAAACATCTAGTTTTCGTTTTGCATACTTTTTAATTTAATCTTTGCTGTGGACGCACATTCTGCTCCTTCAGCCAATAGCCTTTAAGATACCAGCCCACTTGGGTGTGGTCTCATACTGTAAAAGCAGCAGTAACTGTGTGCCTGCTCCCTTGCTTCCAGCTCCCGCTTCCAGCTGCTAGACTCTGTTCCTGTTCGTGCAGAGGACTGTTGTCTAGGACGGTGATCTGTAAGTTTAACCCTTTTATTATTCATAATTCTGAACTGGTGTGGGATTGTTTTGTGAGTTACACCATCAAATCTTTTTATTGTATTTTTATTTATCTTATATGAATGGGTAAAAACCTGCATGTATGTACCATGTGTGTGCAGTGCCTGAAGAGGCCAGAAGAGGGAGTCAGATCCCCTGGAGCTAGAATCACAGATGGTTATGAGCCAGCATGTGGATCATGGGAACTGAATCCAGGTTCTCTGGAAGAGCAGCCAGTGCCTTTAACTATTGAGCCTTCTCTCCAGCTTATTTGAGTCTTTATAAGCATGTACTTTAATAGAAGATCAAATCGTAGATCAAATAAGCAATTTCAGACTCCTAATTTTCTTCCCTAAAGATCCAAGTGTTGTTAGCTTGTTCTCTGCACTAAATCTCACGTCTGTGGTGCCAGGACTTGGGCATAGCTGATATACAAACTTAGTCACATTCTAGAACCGAGCTTCTTGAAGGTCTGTCGTGGACAACACTTGAGATCTTATTAAAATGTGGACCTAGGTTAATGCGTCTGAGCTGACTTTGAAATGTCTAACCCTGCCCAGGGGACATCATCGCTGTTGGTCATGTGCAGTCCTTCCTCCTCCCAAACTACAAGACCTACCATGACTTTTGTCAACTTGACACAAGCCTAGACACATCTGGGAAAAGAGAATATCAACTGTGGTATTGCCTCCATCAGACCGGCTGGTAGGAAAGTCTGAGGGGATTTTCTTGTTTCATGACTGATGTGGGAGGTGCTCAGCTCTCTGGAGGTGGTGTCACCCCTGGGCAGGTGGTTCAGGTGTGTAAAAGAAGGAAGGATAAACAAGCCATGGGGAACATGCCAGTAAGCAGTACTTTTTCCACGTCTTTTACTTTAGTTCCTGCCCCTGACTTCCCTCAGTAATAGAGCATGACCAGAGAGTTGTATGTTGAAAGAAACCTTTTCCTCCCCAAATGGCTTTGGTCATGATGTTTTACCACATCAACAGAAATGCTGACTAAAATATTACTCCATGGATTTTCATATTGTCAAGTGTCACCTGAGAACCAACAACTATAGTCAGATATAGGCACTTAATAGAAAGGCAGGATCCTTACACCCAACCCTGTGATTTCTGAATGGCTTCTGTGGACTCATTTGTTTGAATGCTTGATCCACACAAGGTGGAACTGTTTGGGAAGGATTAGTTCACTGGGGTGAACTGGGTGAACTTTGAGGTTCCAAAAGCCCGTATCATCCCCAGTTAGCTCTCTCTGCCTCATGCTTGTAGAGCAAGACGAGCTACTGAGCTACTGCTTCGGCGCCATGCCTGCAGCCATGCTCCCTACCATGATGGGCATGAACTCTAACCATCCCAAGCTCTAAGTCCCAAATAAACTCTTTTTTCTCTAGGTTGCCTTAATGGTGACTCATCACAGCATAGAAAAATATCTAAGACATACCCACATCTACTGAATTAGAGTCTGCTTTTAAAATTGAGCTCCTTGAGGGAAATCAATTGCACATTCCAGCTTGAGACAACCTGTCCCAGGTCACTCAACAAGACAAAATAGTCATCTAGGCCTCTGGATGAATGAGAGAGACATTCATCAACACTCACCATTTAGGTCATCTCTTGGAATGAGCTCTAGGCCAATGAAGAGGGCACACAGCTCCTTCACCAGGCTGCGATAGGAAAGCGTGCTCCAGCGACGCAGGGTCTCCCTGTCCAGCTGTGGGAGCTCCTCTGGCACATAGAGGCCCCCATCTGGTGCATAGCCAGAGAAGAGGGCTCCCTCAAAGTTGACCCGTGGGGCCATTCCCCTGGTGCTGGTGTACCACATGATCCTGGAAGCCTGCAGAGGAAGAGACCCAGAAGTGGCTGGTCTTCAAGCTCCCGGCACCCCACAGGATGAAGCTGAGTATACACAGCCCTCTGACCTAATGTCTGAGCCACCACTCACTCAGACATGGCTTTGGCAGCCTTAATTTGAATCTCATCTCAGTTTTGTCAAGTCTTGTGTAAATTATGATCCTTCTGATCAAAACAGGCAACTCCACTGAGCCCACTACCTCCAGGTGTAAGTACTGAAGCATGCTGGGAAAAGAGAACCACAACCCTTACCAGTAACCAAGGAAACCTTGGAATGGAGAGAGATCATAGCAATAGCAGGTAGCTGCCATTTTCGACAGGCTTCTTAGTGGGGAAAAGACCAGAATATCTGACTGGCAAAGCTGGTGTGGATGTGGGGAAAGGGGGGCAGTTATTCAATGCTGGTGGGAGTGCAAGCCTTTGCCACCACTACAGAAGCTGGTGTGGCGATTCCTCAAAAAGCTAGAAATGAATCTACCATATGAGCCATAAGAATCTACCATATGAGCGTCCCAAAGGAGGCTCGATCCATTACAAAGATACTGGCTCATCCGTGATCATTGCTACTCTATTTACAACCTACATGAATGGGTAATTGGGAGTCAGTTTTCGTCAGGGATGCAGGTTCTGAGAGGCTACCCATGCTCCAGTAGATGCTCCCAGACCTACGTACTAAATGGACCTGTCGGGCGTTTGTTTGTTTTTGTTTTTTTAAGGAGGGAGAGCACATGAAATTGGGAGGGAAAAGTGGTGGGGAGGAACCAGAGGGGGAAGGAATGGGACAGATATTTGATCAAAACATGTTATAAGCATGTATGACTACTAAACAAAATACATATTTTTTTTAATATTGCAAGCCCCATGTCCCAGGAGACCCTCAATCCCAGGCAAACCAGGAAAGTTAGGCATTATTAGCAATAACCTGTGGCCTACCTCAGAGCCTAGTTCTAGAAGGCTGCAGCACAGCTTGAATACTGCCTTTGAAACTCTCTGGCCATGGCTAATTGGCTCTGGCTCCTGGCATGGATTCAAAGCCTTCTGTTGCTTAGAATGATTCAGAGATCACAATAGAATTTAGGGGTTCCCATGTTAAAGCCCCACAGTAACTAGGGTGATCAATTTGACTACACATAACTCCCAATACCACTTCAGCATGTCTACCCCCCTGCCACAAGAAGGGGAGATCTGGTATTGACCTGGAAGAATTCCATTTTCCTCTTCCTGACCCTGGAGATGGACCCCCTGGTTTTCTGCCATTTCTCTGCCACTGAGCTCCACCTCTAGCCCCAAAGTTGTGGTTTTCTGCTTCAGGTCTCTGACACCTGTGGGTCCACCGTGAGTTCTACCTCAGCTGCCATGTGGCACTCTTGCTGCCTACGAAGTCCGACCTTCCGACATTGCAACACGACTTGGCTATCTACAAAGTTCAAGCCTCAGAATGGTGCCATCAGATTAGAAAGGTAAGGGAATAAATAAAATCATGTAAGATTTTAAAATAACCGCGCAATTCCGTGTTGGGGCTTATTCATCACTATCTGCAATCCTGTGCATCAGGCATGCCTGAAATATTACTGCCTAGAACTGGGATGGATACTGTCATGCTGGGACAATGTGTGTAAACAGAAATGACTTTAGGAATCTGGGGTACGCAGTCACCCCACACAGGAGCCCGTGACAAAGAACGAAACAGCAGAGCAGGCACAGCATCTCAGAAGGCAGAAGAAGGGCCAGGAGGTCAGAGGCTCAGCAGTGCCTACAGTTATCACAGGGAATTCCAAAACGCCGTGGACAGTGTTTGCGCTTATGCAAACTGGCCTGAAATCCTCGCTGCATAACTTTACCGGACCAGACTAAAGGAAATGCCACGAGTAAGCTACTGAATCCCCAGCCAAAATGCTGCAGGTGCTGGGACAGGGCAGAAGCAGGTTGGGCTACAAGGAACTGCTAAAAGGACCATTTCCCCAAAGCCCCGTTCTCAGTGGAATGGACCATATGGTAGCTGGCGCAGAGGGGGGCTCGGGATTCTGCAACCCAAGAAAGACTGAACAAGGAACAGAGGAGAGAAAGAGCCTGGCTTGAACTCAGCTCGTGCCAGAGAGTTCTGTGTGAGTAATAAGAAGCTGGCCTGGTTAAGCATAGAGGCCCAAGCTCCTTACAATTCTGACCTATGACTTCAAGGGACAGCGTTCCCAGTCTATAACTACAAGAAACACACCTGAAGGTTTTTGTTGTTGTTTTGTTTTTTGGCAAAGCTCAAAAAGGAATCAGTTGCACTTTCATTCGACTGTTGTGTGAGGACTCTGGACTCAAACGTCTGCAGTACATTATCGTGATAATTACTTTTTGGGACTTCTCTGGATTTTAATTCCAGAATGGAGACGGCAATAAACACGATAAATAATAATAACAGGGCGATCTGCCTTTGCGCCCGGATTCTGGATTCTGCGTCTGGAAAGTCTCGGAGACTCGGCCCCAGCAGCAGATGGGTTGGAGCATAAGGCAGGCTCGAAGGGGTAGGGGGATGGGAGGCTGCGCTAGAACCGCTGGCGAGTTCGCAGAGGCCTAAGGCTCCACCACCCCCACCCACCCCCCCCGCCTCTGAACACAGCGCACTGCCCAGTTTCGGGGTTCTCCCCAAACAGCCGAACCCCAGCTGCAGGTGGAAAACGCGAATTCTCCACCCGCACTGACTGCTGCCATCCCAATGCCCCAACTGGCGTTAAGACGCTGGCCGGGAAACCAAACTGAGCCTCCGGGGCGGGACAGCAGCCAGGACTCGGACAAGTCACCGCGGAGAAAGCGGGGACGCAGCGGGGCAGGGACGACGTTACCGTGGGGACGCGGAGTTCAGTAAGCCACAAGCACGGATTTGCAGTCCCGTAGCCCGAAGTCCTAAGTGAGTTTAATTCCAAAGGTGGGGAGGAGCTCCACCCAAGGGGGCGTGGAGGGATGGAGGAGGGGCTGGGGGCGTGGTAGCGTGGAGGAGGCACGTGAGGGGGCGTGGAGGAGACACGTGAGGGGGCGTGGAGGAGGGGCGTGGCGGAAGGATGGAGAAGGGGGCTGGAAGAGAGGGAAGAGCTTTCCTGCTCATTGAGCCTCTCAGGCCTTGGATTTTCTTTTACTCACGATCCTCGCTGCCACTCAATATAATAAAAGCTAGTAAAGTTATGTTTTGTTTTATTTTTATTGACTATCTGTTTTTGAGACAGGGTCTCTCTATATAGCTCTGACCCCCTAGAACTTTCTACGCCCCCCCCCCACTACCCACCGAGTGCTGGGATTAAAAACTTTGTTTTGTTTTTAGATGAGAAAACAGAGGACAATGTGGGAAGAAGGAAGGCCCTTCTGTCCTTTGACTTTCATGGATCTGGCCTGTGCTAAAATCCACCAGATGGGTGCATCGACTTAGCTCAAAAAAAATCTTACTAGGATAATACTTTTTCTATCAAATATATATCTACTCTAGGGGAAAATCCGACTCAGTTTTCTCCCTCTCCTCTTCCTTTTCTCTACCTCCCCCGCCTCTTCTTCATGGAACTCCATTACCTTGAAGTTCTGATCTTTGGTGTTGTTCCTCCTCCTGGGGCCTCCGTTTCTTTCAGCACACATGCCATCTTCTTGTCGTCCACAGCCTCGGAAGGTGTCACCCAGCGGCAGTCTCCTCAATAGGAGATTGTGCTCACGGTATGGGATAGGTCTTCCAAACACAAGAAGGCGCCAGAGGCTTGCCAAGGAGTTGACACAGGCATCCGAGGGGCCAGCACCCCGAGGGGTATAAGTCAGTTAGGGACCGTCTCAAAAGTGTTTCTGTGCTTTCCATGAGGTGCACCTAACCATTCAGAGGCCAAAAAAACTGGTACTCACGAAATGCCACGACAGTCAGCAGTGTCTGCCAGTGTTCCCAAAGACGTCTTCATGAGCATCCAAGGACAGCAGCACCGTCCACGGGGCTGGCTCGTCCACAGTGCTCTCTGCCTGGCTCTATCAGACCTATAGGACATCACCATCCTGGGGCCAGAGGACAGCTGGAATATTCTGTGAAGCTTACTTTGATCCCTCACCAGGGAGAGGACCTAAGGCTGGAGGATCAGCTGAATTGCTCTTTAAGAGCTGCTTCCTGGGGCGTTCAGCACAGGAACTTAAGAGCTTAAGGAATATAAGAGCGTCTTCCATCTCCTTAACAGGCTTTTATTTTAAAATATATGTAGATTTTAAAACTATACGGCAATTAGTTCTATAAATAATCAGACCGGAGCTGTAGAGGTGAGTTAGCTGTTCAAAGCATTGACTGTTCTTCCGGAGCTCAGTTTCCAGCACGCACATGGCAGCTCATAACCGTCTGACTCCCTCTTTTGACCTCCACTGATACCAGGCATGCAAGTGGTACACAGGCGTACATGCAGACAAAACACTCATACACAAAAAAATAATACAAAATAAAAATAAACAGACCAAGGCAATTTTATTGACAATCTTGCCCCAAACAGATTGGGTAAAATTCACTTCTCAAGCTGTCAAAGATGATTTCAGTTTGGAGGCCATGCATGTAATTAAAACATATGCTAATTGCATTAAGATGACAAAAGAGAGCTGAAAGAAACCACAGGATTAAGATAATTAATTAAGCAGTGTATTTTGCATGCATCCACAGTGTTTATGGCAAACCTGTGCAGAACCCAGGGTACGAGGAGGCTGGACATCCAAGTGGATGCAGTGGGGACAGGAAGCAGCTGTGACCAGCTAGAGCTTTGACTAGAGCTTCTCTGCCTCTCCTTCCTTGGACTCTCATTTCAGTTTGTAATCAACCATGCTGGCCTTGACTGTCCTCCACCAGCAGAGCTCCTTGGGGGCATCTGTGGTTTTGAAAGTCAAGGCTTCCCCTCCACACAAAGGGTGGCTGGAAGCCACTGCAGAAACACAGCCTAAAGCTTTAAACACAAGCGGCCTCAACCTTATCCTGCTCGTCCACTCGAATCTGTAACTTAATAACATCACGAGGTGCCCCACCCACCAGTCAAGTTCCAACCCCATATTATGAGTTCCAACTCATAAGGATCCATACCTTCTTCTGATAGAGCCAGGCTAGAACTGACCGCTCCTGGGAGGGCAGCACAGACTCCACCAGCCTCAGAAGGTCTCCTCCAAGCTGGCCGCCAACTCACTATGTCCTC